GACCGCCGCGAGGGTCTCCCTGCGATAGCGCGCCTCCCCGCCGGGGGGGAGGTGCGCGTTAGGCGCGGTGGTATGGAGAACTCTCGCTCTCGTTGGCGTTCGGTGCAGTACGCTGCATGTGCACACTTGCTACTTGGAAAGGTCGCGGTGGATGTGTATGAGATACGGTGACCGAGGAAAATAGAGAAGCTGGTCGTACATGTGATACCCCACGATAGACCTCTTTGCTCGCCTACAGTACCCTATGAAAAAATCATTTATCTGGTGCTGGTAGGACAGCGGGGACACCTGCAACAGAAATTTGCTCTTGGATCAGCCTAAAAAGCATTCTGTTGTTAACCGGACAACAACAGTCTTTGACCCACCCTTGTCTAAAAAGACTCCCGTCGCGTAGTATGAGGGACAGTGTCGAACGGTTAGCAACAGAAATGTTCTTGAGCCAACAAGTCCCTATGACCGACATGTCGTTAGCACAATTTTTTTTTAAAAGTGTAAGTGAGAATGAATGTTTGCTAATCTCTGCACAAGAGTGTGGATAAGTTTGTCGCACGATCTAACAGTGTGAATATATTTGCTCGGCTGCTGCGGTGAGACATTGTTTGAATATACTTTTCAGTGCGTACTTACCGGTACTTACCCGCGCCGTAACGCCGTCCGTACACCGTATACACCTTCGCTGCGCATCGCTCGCTCCAGATCTGGCGATGCACGACCCAGATAGTAGGGGGGGTTGACATTGAGGGGCTCGGGCGCCGCGGCCTTCGGCGTCCTCGCGCGCGGCGGCCGCCTCCCGGCTCGCCTGCCCCCAGCGCCCACCCCCGCGCCTGCCCAACGCACACCTTGACACTGCGTCACTCTGCCTGCCGTCAGCGGCGCGCTTAACCCCTGCACCTTGAGAGCTCTCACAAGTAGTGTTCACCTGCAAGGCAGACACTTTTACTCGCAAGTCGTGTCGTAGGACGGACAGTGATTTGCCCCCCCCCCCTCCCCGCCCCCTCTCCCCGAAGGCCTATGTATTTATTTATAGGAGCATCCAGTGTTTCATGAAGAAATAACTGAAGAGGCCATCGTGGGCGTTAAACACGTTAACGACGACATGGACGCCAGTTAAAAAAGACGTCTTTAAAGAATGCCTCTCGTCTTTATCGTGTTCAAGACTTGCAATAAAGTAGGTGCATGGGCTCCGTTGATTGAGCACTCAGAGTCAGAGCTATGAGTTGTGCGGCCAGTGCACTGCAGGAAGCAAACGTACGCTTTGGGTCCTTTGGTTAAATGAAATATATTCGGGGAGATTTTACCGTAACGACTGTGAAGACGCAACGTTGTAACGCATGACGCAATTAATATAGCGTTGCGAGGATAGCATAATTTGGGGCACAGAAATATATATTATTCATGAAATTTCTTTTCGTTTTCGTCAGCATTGTGATGCAGCTGAACTTGGCTCGAGTCTCGAAACTGTGTGTGCGTATAAAATACCACGTCCATTAAAACGAGCATCGTTACGCACATGAGAACGAATAAAGCGCCAAGTGTGAGTGCAGCTTCCCAGGGAGGTCGGCCGCTGCTGCCCGCATGGCATGGGCTCTGTCAGTGGGCCATAAGGCTGGACCTGTGGGTCCCGCGGGGCGGGGCGGGGCGGGCCCGGCCCACCCACCGGCGATGTAACGCAACGCCTCGTCCTCACGGTCCTTTCTTCTGGCAGCGGGTGTTGTGAACGGTCAGCGCTCGCAGACCCCCCCCCCCTCTCTCTTTCCCTCTCACTCTCCCGCGGGTCGAGTTGGTGCATTACGAGAATGACGAGTACTCTCCTCAGTGCCTCAAGTTCAAAGGCGGCCATGGAGGGTTTTCTCATGAGCGTTACGCGAGTTTTATATTCTCTCGCGGTGCAAGGCTCATGAGCCTTTTGTGTGTGTGTACACGATGTGCGTCGTGTCGTGCATATACATCTCTTCACTCTCACGGCA